CATTAAACTTCCCTGACCTTTCACAGAGGTGTTGTGCAGACAAAATACCCACAGACCTGTACTTGGGCATGACTTTTGTGAGACAGCAGATCTACCAAAGGCACATGTTGCTCAATGCCCCATTCAATATGCAGAGGGAGGCTTGGACACTGTATCTACTCAGGTGCATTTGTGCCTCACTGCTTGCAAAGAAGACCTCTTTAAGAAGCAGTTGAGTTTGGATTAATATTTGATGAGTGACAGCATGTTGCTGGTTCAAAGATAACACAGTATGTACAAAGAAGAAGGTCTTTTCTACAGAGCAGAGCCCACTGAGCAAACAAACATCCAACGCTCCTGCTGTAAACCAGAAGTGTCGGTGGCGATGGTGTGGCTGGCTCCAAGCTCCACACAACCTAAGCAGGCACCCTGTGATGTAAGAAGATGCTGCAGCTCAAGCCCTGACTTGAGCTCAAGCTCTCCAAGCTGGTGGATGCGTTAAGATCACCAATATTTAGGCTGGTGACACCTTCAGCTGATGCTGGAGGATGCCTTGAAGTGTCTCCCCTCTTCATGACTACAAAGAAAATGTTACTTGCAAAGGTCTCTTCTAGCCCTGAGGGTGGGAGCACTGCATCAAGGTGCCAGAGTGAGATATGTGTTATTGCCCTGCCTGCACCAACTCCCCATCGCTCTGCAAATATAATCATTATCAGAGGAGCCCAAAAGGCTGAGGGACTCTGCCTCGTGCAATATTAAACTTCCCCATTTTCTTCTGCCACTTTAAAGATTCTCTTTTTTACTGCAAGTGATAAATAATAACGGCAAAAAAACACCCCACAGACACACAACAGACATCAAAAGCCACGAGAAGATTGGCAAATAGAGAGATCTGAAGTGAGCAAAGAGGGGGCCTGGTTGTGAGTCGGTTCACGTAGCCCTGACTTCTGTTGCTTTCCATTAATTCTCCCCGCCATCACAGGTGGCAGAACAACAGCGACAGCTATCCTTTCTTGCCCGTTTGCTAGCAGTGAAAGAGAGCCAGTAAATTCCCCAATTCCCCCCCTCCCTGTCCCAGAACTGCCCATTGAGATGCACTGTTAAAGGAAGACGAGGCGGCTGCAGTTTGCCCACACATATGCTCGCTGCCCGGTGGAGGTGTTTGCTGCGCTGCTCCTCCAGCCTGGCGTGGTGGCTGCGTGATGCTCTGCCTGCAGACGAGCTGGCAGAGGCAGGCTCCAGCAGAGGGGATAGGAAGGAGTATCTTTCCCAGGGACACCAGGGAGCCTCTTAGGGCTTTCAACCCCATGTAGATGGAACACGTCCATGGAGGTGATGCCAAAAAGCCCAGGTCCCCTTGAGCTTGTCTCAAGCAGAACATGCTGCACAGGCAACAGCAAGGAGCTGTGGAGGAGTGGGTTGAGCTGCTCTTTAGCTGCAAAGAGAACATGCTCTCAGTTGGAGGTAGGATAAACCAGAGCCAGATGGGGTATATGACCCTGCCATAAGGATGTGTCTATGTGGCGAGAGGGAAAACACGTAACTGAGCAGAACCCCTGCTGCCAGGGTTAATTCATCCTAGTGGCAAAAACCCTGCTCACACACCTCACCAGCCCTCTGCCTGCCTCCCACCCCTTGCTTTTGGTGACACTGGCCTGTCCCACATCCCAAAGTGAATGACAGCCCAGGTGACACTGTGGGTGAACAAAACCCCCTGGGAAGAATGATGTTTCTCATCAAGAAATCCTTGCTGCCAGCGAGGGAATTCCACTCCAGCTTTGAATGCAGGGCGGCCTCAGCTAAGAAAAAGAGCTGTGTCTCCAGCAAAACACACCCTGCCTGCCCCCCAACATCACAAGATGACACTGAATTTTAAGGCAGAGGGGTTCAGGCTTCTTCTCCCCTTAGAAAATGCCACCGAGGCCAAACCTTCTGTGGAAAGCTGTCAGTTTTGACAAGATGTCATTAAACACCCCAAAGAGGAGAAGATGCAGTTCAGGCTGTAACTTTCCTCTCTGGCCCTGGGAGCACATCATTCTGAAATCTCCTTTCTAACCAGGGTTTGCATTGAAACCCCCATGTATGTGATGTATTATATAAGAAAGCACGAAGAAAACCTCTTCAGGAAAAAGAAGCTACCTTGATTTAATCAAAACTACTTTCTCTGTGGGGGGTGTGGGGATTTTGGCCCTCTGGGAAACTGTATTGAATTTGGTTTGTTTTCCCTAATGAAGGGAGTGAGGGGTCTGTGCTTAGAACCATAGGGCAGCTGGACCAGCAGCTTCTTGCCAAGGAGGAGCATGGCTCATAGGTGCTTCCCAGCCAAGCATCTTTGGGGTGAGATGCTTGACCTCGCTTGCTTTACCCAGCCAGAAGGACCTGGGTGCAAACCCAATGCAAAACTCATCACTGTATCAAACTCAAGCAAGGTGACAGCTTGCTCCTGTATTCAAGGATGGCCCTGTGGAGCTGGCTGTGGATTTATGCCCAGAAAAGGAATTGATGTTGTTTAGACTTTTTTTTTCCCCTTTGTGTTCAGAGCTGTTTACTGACAAACATACTGGGAGGTATTAAAAGTAAACGTCGGCTGAAGACCAAGATGTGCTATCTCTATCTGAGGATGAGGAAAGCCACAGGAGATGTGTTAGAGTGGGAAAAAAATCACACTTTCTCTCTATTGCTTAGTTTTAAGGCAGAATAAGTTCATTTTCACCACTGACGGGGTCCCACATGGCCCTCGGATGACACAGAGCTCATGTTCTGTCTTTTCATATCTCCAGTATCCCAGTCCTGGGGCTTTCCATATTCCTGCCTTCCCTCCCAGTCAGTGCTGAGGTGCAGGGGGCTGCTTGCTCGGATGTCCCACTCCAAAGGACTCCAAGCTTCGGTGCCGGGACATCTGCCACCTTTACATAGTTAGTGAAGAGCTTTGGGATCTTTTGGAAGGAAAACAAATCCCCCCCCAATCAATCAGAGCCATTAAGCGGAAGGAAGCCCCGCTGAGCGCTGCTGAATTCCATTTGCTCATCACAGTGGTAGGGAAAAAGTGTGATGTTAACATGTTAAGAGAACTTCAGATATGAAAAAACAAAAGTGCTGCTTGAATTTTCATGCCTTTTTTCTTTTTTCACCCTTAAAGAAATCCCCTTTATGAGAAAGCATAACCTGAAAAAACCCTGCAATTAATTCTGAGAGTGGAGTCCATCACAAAACCAATCACGGCAAAGAAATAACCCCAATGCTCAGGCAACAGGAAGGGTGACAAGACACGTGGCCTCAGGATGGATGAGAAGGGCAGAAGAGGGCTATGGGTGGCATTTGCAGCTACAAGAGAGAGCAAAACCCAGCTTTAATGAGACAGCACTGGAGAGGGGAGAAGCGTGGCACATCCATCTGCTGCTTGGTGGGGAAAAGCAGCCCAGCATTGCTTTGCCATGTACCCAGAGGCTGGAAACAGCCAAGAGGAAGGAGAAAACGCAGGTTGGAGCCTTCAAGGCTGCTCCGGTGAACAGAGGTGCGTTCAGGGGTGGTGTGTAAGCCCCTGTTGCTGAGGATCAAACCTGATGCCCAGTCTTAGGAGCAGGAATCCTGGCCCTGTCAGGTTCCTCAGCCGGAGGTGGTTGTTTTGCCTTTGGCTGTACTAGAATCAATCAAGGCAAGACCCACATAGGACATTCTCCCAGATCCCTCCCCAGCTTGTCACACACTTTGTACTCCTCCTAACTGTAAATATGAAAACAGGGCTATTTGTATCTTTGACATTAATTGACTTCTCAAATTAATAACTCTTCTGTGTAAACAGGAACGCAATTACTGCTTTGTTGTGCTGACAGCAGATATCCAGCTGGAAGGAGTTGTTCCTACCAGCAAACTTGACTGTACTAATTAAGCTGTACGAACCTAACAGGAGGTGGGTCATGGTAACCTGTCCCCGGAGGTGCCTCCTCTGTTATTATCAACTGAGGCTGTTGCAAAGCCAGACCTGATTGTGTGCCTGTGTGTGCATGCTCCTGACTGCCAGGCAGGAGTGAGGAGTGGCTGATCACTGCCCTGGGCTGGGGGCATACCTGCTTGCTGTGAAATGTCTTTGTGCTGGCTTAGACATGAGCCCTCCTGGCCAACAATGCTCTCTTGTCCCAGAGCGTGATGACAACTCACCCTGTTTCATATACCCATATTTTTGTCTGCTTAGACCAAGAAACCTTTGAGAGAATCATCAGAGAATGGTTTGGGGTGGAAGGGACCTTAAAGCTCATCCAATTCCAATCCCCTGCCATGGGCAGGGTCACCTTCCACTCGAGCAGGTTGCTCCAAGCCCCTGTGTCCAACCTGGCCTTGAGCACTGCCAGGGATGGGGCAGCCACAGCTTCTCTGGGCACCCTGTGCCGGCACCTCACCACCCTAGGTACCCCTGGGTACCTATGTACCCCCAGTCAAAGCACCTCTGCTCTGGCCCCTTCTGAGCTCTGCTCCATGCTGTTGGGGTTAGATAGTCTTACAGCGGTTGCTTAAGGGTTACATGGAGACAGCAATGGAGTTGTATTGTTCATATCATAAAAGAGTATGCAAAAATAAAACCCTGAAAAAAAGGAATTTTCCCGTAATAGACTTTTCGCTCGGTGTGCTTTGCTCTTTATGTCCCCAAACAGATGGCTCCACCTGCTCGGCGCCAGGCCTCTTAATCCACTCCAAAGCACCAATGAATCTCTGACAGAGGACTTGCTGCATGCAGCAGAACATAGCAGACAGCCTAACGTGGAGGCAATTGCAGTCTCTCAACATGTAATAACATCATCAAGGTAAAAGCAGCATCAGGGAGCCATCAGAGCAAGGATGCTGGGAAGAGGACCGTGCCACCACAGCTCTGCGGGGATGAGGGGCTGTGTACAGCTCCAGCCATCACATCCTGCAGCCAGAGGACAGCAGAAGCCATGGGCATGAGCTAGAATGACCACCAAGCAGGGATAAACATGAGAGAGAGTGGAATAGCCACCAAAACGCACAGCCAGCAGCCACTTTACCTGTACTGGGTGACAGCAGGGTTGGCCTTGGCAGAACAGTGGAACTTCACAGTGTTATCCTCAAGCACCGGCTGTGGCTCCACAGACAAGTTCACCAGGGGTGGGTCTGCAAAGAGACAGAGACAGCCTGTAAGCAACACAAAGACATGATGCAGCAGCCCCATGCCTGCTGCCTGCCATGCTTCCGAGTCTGGAAAGCAGGATTTGGTCATGAGAAAACACGGTAAATGCACTGAGACTCCTTGACGTTGTGAAATAATGTGTAAGACAGGCTGGTGTCATGCACGCTGTGCTTGTCTTGGAGGGCTTCAGTAAATAAGACAGAAAGAGGAGAGACACACACCATTCAATGTAGCATTTCACTTCAAAAATGTTAACGCCGGCTCTGATTCCTGTTTAAGGAAATAAACTTGCCTGCTTTGAAAAGCTCCCATTTAATATCTCGCTGTGTAATGATGATCTTTTGTCTATCCGCTAACTTGAAAGTGGCATTTCTGCTCTTTCATCAGCCTAATCATCTCTGCCAAGTCCTTATTGGTGTCACAGGCCTCTCGGTTCTTCCAGCTGGTGCTGGTTTCTCTTCTTTTTACATGATAAGCATCAAAATGCTTCAGCAGCAGAAAAATTTGGGAGAGAACTGATGAAAGCAAGTGAGAAGTGAAAAGGGTGCAATGTTTGGATGGGGAATAAGAATATCCAGAGTTGTTTTCAATTTTCATGATGTCTGGGAGGGGGGTTTGGACCTCCAGCTTTAGGTTTTAAGGATAGGACCTCATTTGAGGGAAAAAGCAGAAAGAAACTGCCTTGTAAGGGCCACTCTCTCCAGTCCTGCATCTGGCTCTGGGGCAACAGCACAAGAGGGACGTGGAGCTGTTTGAGTGAGTCCAGAGGAGGCCCCGGAGCTGCTGCGAGGGCTGGAGCAGCTCTGCTCTGGAGCCAGGCTGAGAGAGCTGGGCTGGGGCAGCTGGAGAAGAGAAGGCTCCTGAAGGGGACACCTTAGAGCAGCTCCAGTGCCTAAAGGGGCTCCAGGAAATCTGGAGAGAAGCTTTGGACAAGGACGGATAAGGATAGGACAAGAGGGAATGGCTTTAACCTGGAAGAGGGTAAGTTTATGATACTGATGGGAGAATGGCGTGACTGTGACCTCTCTTTTGGGTACCACTTTACAAAGGTAATGACACTGGGTGAAACCTCACATGAATGAGGGATGAGGAAGAAAAGGTGATGCTGCCTGCAAAGCATCGGAAGGGTTGGCACTGGGAGAGGAGAGCAGAAAGTCTGTCCGTGTGCCAATCGAAAATAACAGCACCGAAAGCAACCCTGTGTTATTCCAGTCTCTCCCTGTGAGGTGTGGGATCATCCTTATGGCAAGGCTGGGGACCAAAGGGGAGTCTCCGAGGTGGCCTCAGCTCGAGTGAGATGGGAGAGGTAAAGGAAGTGGCTGGTGTTGTGCTGCAGGACCCCGGCGTGCTGCAGTGCCTCCTCCTCCTCCTCCCCACCTCATTAGGCCCCATGATATTTACCCAGCCAGAGGCAGGCTTTGTTGCAAGCAAAGCCACCTGCCTTCTCGCTGGGAAATGATGACGAGGAAATTATAGGTATTTTCAATTTACCCTAATTTCATTTTAAAATGTGCAATTCAAATGACAATAAAGATGGGCGCAGTTGGGAATATAAATGAGCTTCCCTCACCTAACAGCCCAGAGATATATAGTGGGCTCCTAATTCATTTGCAGGCATCCTGACACTTCCCTATTGTTATACAACAACAGCTAATCACCTTCCTTTGTTAAGTATGAATCACACTTCTCTTTAGGAGCTTCCCCATTGTTTGATGGTTTAGTAGCTGTGCCTAGGATTTACAGAGGAGCCTCTTTGTATTAAAATGAGCCCCGCTCCCTCCTGCACTCAAAATTAAACAAAAAATAGAGATTAAAAGGCAGAAAAAAACCACAGCAAAGGAAATGAATTGAAGTCTTTGATCTTGCCTTTCAAAAATGGTATTGGGCTTTCTAATATTGTGGTAGCTCCCTGTGAGGCGGCGGGTGCCGTGGGTTAGCGTGGGTTTGTGTGTGCCAGTGTGTTTTGGGAGAGTTAAAAGGGGGAAAAAGACACAAATTGTAACTCATCAGAATGTAATTCCACTCGGTTACAATTATAATTCCTGCCTGGCTTCTTGTAATTAATTTGAATGATGGAATCAGACAGAGCCAGCCTACAGGAGAGCGTGCATGCAAATGGCTTATATGCCCAGGTACCAGTATACCCATGAGCATCGCCCCTGGGGACCAGCATCACTCCTCATGTGCAGCCAGTGAGGAACCAGAGCAAACCCTCAGCTCCTGCTGTTTTAAACTAGCCCCTGGGAAATGGTTGCTGGGATCATGGGCTGAGCATCATCTTCCTCTCCTCTATGGATGCCCAGAGAAGCCCTTCCAAACCTGTACCCTGGATCCAACAGCAGCTTGTGGACCAAGTGAGGAGCTGGAAGAAGACTGAGATGCCTCTTCAGGTCTGGGCTTTCACACTCCCCACGGGGAAGGACAACAGGGAATCAAACACTAATGCTGCGAGGACGAACACAGCAGGATGCAATGATGCTGCCCTCACTTTGCCCATCACCCTGGTCCACTTCCCTTTTCCTTTTGCCACCTCCTGCAAAAACATGCAGATGCAGATAAATGCCTTCTTGCCATGAGAGGAAGAGGTGTGAAAATGAGGAACTGCACATGTGTGTGTAGAGGCTTGGAGCAAATGGCTCTGGATAAGCAATAACCCCGCTCCTCCCCAGCCCAGAACGCTGGGTGTGTATTTCCACAGAGCCACTGGGCCCTGGCACTATAAATAGTTTATGGCATACAAACTATTAAACATGATTTTAATCCCACTTGTGATGTTCGGTGCATAACTCACAGGAGGCTGACTTTGATGTGGCTGGTAGAACAGAAATCACATTGAACAGATGTTCCAGCTGGAGTCGCTTAGTGTTTCCATTACAGACCCTGCTCGGGGTTGGGGTTTTTCAGCTGCTTTTTTCCTTTTTCTTTGTGGAAAGGGAGGCTTTTATGACTCAGCTATTTCATTGCTCTAAGATGCCTGCATGAGATTGATGGGAGCCAAACTGAAAGGGGTTGTTCTCTCCCACCACGCACATACACCCAGCATAGGAAACACCCCCCACCCTGGCCTTTCCTTGCTGCCTGTGAGTGTTTTTGATGTTCTTTTGGGTCACAAAAGAAAGCAAAAGGAGAAGCAGTGATTTACCATGCTGCTGCTTCCTGGGAGGGATTATTTTTGGTTCCCTGGGATTATTTTGCAAGGCCACCTCTTTCAAACCTATGGTGTGAACAGCAGAGGTGGAGACGTGCAGGCTCCAGGGTGAAATGTTGGCACTGGGAGAGCTGCTGGGGAGGAGAGGCAGGGGGTTGGAACTGGGTGAGCTTTAAGGTCTTTCCAACCCAAACCAGGCTGTGATGCTATGAAGAAGAACCTCCTCTCACCACCCAGGTGGTGCAGGGGGGTACCTTGCGTTTGCAGCCAGCCTTGCCCAAGACAAGAAATGAGTGGACCAGATAATTTTTTCTTAAGAAAAGTAGGACCTTTAGCTCATTGCAAAGTGAATGCAGCCAGGTTGGGAAAGAAACCTAATGGACTGGACAGCAGCTGAAGCACTCTCTTGCATCCAGGATGAAATCCATCCCACTGCAGGCTGGTTAATCCATCTTGGTATTTTTCTATCCCTCCATCACCCATCCAGCACTGGGAAATTGATATCCTCATTAGATCCCATTAAGAACAACATCCTTTTAATAGCTGGATAGGATATTATTATTGTTGCATTCACAGCATGGAGTATCTAATGGCTCGGAGTGGAAATTGGTGCTCTTTATTGGGTGCTTCTCTTTTCAGAGCAGATTCTACCAGGCTCAGGGATGCAGCTCACGTCTCCTGCCCCGCACTGTACAGCGCAGTGTAATGATGTCTTGGGCTTCACGTTGTCTGTGCGGATGCATGTGCGTCTCCAGCTATTGTAACTGTTTGCAGGCTGTGAAATAACCCATGCTATTATCTCATTTTATCTGGCCAGCTCTGTCAGGACATGCTATCCAGCGACCCAAGAGCCTGTTAATCTTCCGGCAGCAAAAGCTGGAAGTCTTAAATGCTGAATTTTCTGCTGTGCTCAAGTTTGTTCAGCCAGTTTTAATTGGGCTCTGGAAAGCAGCTGGCATGCTAATATTGAACACCCTGCATTTGCAAATTGTTGGTAAATACAGCTGCAGGGATTGCGTGTGCAAATGAAGCCCTGCTGGAGCGAGGTCGGGATGAGCCCGGGAGCAACAGCTATTGCAGAGGAGGAGGGAAGAGATCTGTGGGGTTTGGAGAAAGGAAGGTTTTGCTTCGTGGGTTTACAGTAAAGGGTAAATGATGCGGCTTTCGCCACACACATGCCCCCATCAGATAGTGACTGATGCTGGATTTCACGGAAGGGAGACTTCCCACCCGTTAGGTGTCTTACATGCTATCTTAGTGGAGAACAGCATAAAGAACTTTGTGTTGAACAGCCTGTGACACTGGAAACATGCTGTTGTGTACCAGAAGCCTTAATGGGCCTTATCTCTGCTACTGGTCATATCTAGAGATGCTGCTTGTGCAGCCAAAACCATTCCCTGCTCCAGAGACACCAGGGGGTCTGGATCACTTGGGCCACATGCATGCTGCATGCCCAGAGCATGGTAGCTGGGGCTGCTTTTGCTTCAAACCATGGACACAAGACACAAAAGCTGGGAACAGCCCATCCCTGGGGTGTTCGTGTCTGTCTGGTGCCCCAGGGACTTTGGGGATGAGATCTGTCTCTGACTGCACTGTATCAAGGTACCAGTAAACGAAACGCCCAAATCCCAGCATCCCACTCCTGGCTGGAGTCAGATCCATGCAGGCAGCCCTGTGGAGAGAGCAGGGAGGTTGGGAGCACCCAGTACCCTGAGGTAGCTCAGCCAGCCATGTACTCACGCTGGATATCAATGGTGACCGAGGTCTCCTTCCCACTGGGAATGGCTTTGTTAGTAGCACGGCAGACGATGCTCTCCCCATTCTCAATATCAGAGGGGGCGATGAAAAGGGTGCTCATGATGCTCTCCCTCTTGCCATCACGGAGAAGTGTCTGTGGGGGAAGAAACAGGGATGAGAAGAGGCAGTTTCCTACAGAGGAGGGCCCCTTCCCCTGGCCAGGCTCTGCACACACAGAGCCAGGCTTAGCCAGGCAGTGCTTCCTGCAATAACAATTCCTCTGGCTGGAATCTGCCAAGAAGCCTTTGGGGAATAGCATAGACAAATTTCACTGCACTTCCCTGGGAATTGGGCATTTAACTCCCATCTGCTTCCCTCCAGCCCTGCTGTGCCTTGATCTGGCAATGCCAGCTCCAGCAAGACACATATCACCCACTGTCCCAGGAAAGGGGAAGACAGGGGACAGAAAGGACAACCAGCTTCTTGATCCTGCTGCCACTTTCTATGCCAGGGGAGTGTAAAAAGCTCCTAGGCCGCTTTAGTTAGCAATGAAGAGTGATGCCAGCTGCCAGCAGCACGGGACTGATCCTGACCACGGGTCCCTGGATGCCATGTAGCAGTCCAGCCCATGTCAAATCATCACCACTCTGGCTCACTTTGTGCTGGGAATCACTGCAATGGGGACCTGAGGATGCCAGAGATCCAAAACCTTAGGGCTGGTACAGCAGTGGTTAACCAGCTCTATCTGCTCAGCTTTAGCACCTTGTTTCTTCCCTGGACTTCTTGCCTTTATTGGGAACCCCGGAGCCCTCCTAATTCTCCTCAGTTCTTACAGACTGCGGTCACATCACCTTGTAGCCCTGTCTTTGGTAAACAAAACCAATCGAGTCCTGGGAGGCTTGAGATGTTGCATTGGTTTAAATCTTTTAATCAATCTCTGGACTTTCCTCTGACCTCTCTCTGGTTTATCAACATCCACCGGGGTCCAGAAATGCCAGAAACACAGCTTTTCCCAGACGCTAGTAATAGCCCATGGATACACTCATCCTGTAACTATGTATTTTGGCTCCTGCCAGGCAGTTTTCCTCTCTAAGTCTGTATCCTTCAAGTTTCCTCCTCCCCATGTAAGCCAAGTGCTTCATTGAATTACAGGCATGCGGCAGCAAGACTAAAGCTTTCACCACCTGGGTTCATCTGTACAGGTCTGCACTTCTCAGGCACACTCAGATTGGATGGGGCTTTGAGCAACCTGGTTTAGTGGTAGGGGGCTGGAACTGGATGAGCTTTCAGGTCCCTGTCAACCCAAACCAGTCCATGATCTATGATGGAGAGAAACTGTCACTGCAATCAGCCCAGAAGGTGGGGAGAAGCAGGACCAAGGCCTATCAGCAGATGATTGTCAGGGCCTGATTGCACCAACAGTGCTTAATTCCCCTGATGAACCCCATCTGAGGACTCTACCCAAAAGCTCTTTACCCATAAGCCCAGGAGAAGTATTTAAGCTCCAGCTCTAGCTTAGGCCCTGCTTTAGGGGTGGTGATGTGGACTGGGTTTCTTGGCTTACCTCCAAGCCTGCCTCATTATTATAGACATTCTGGAGACTGCTGTGCTGTAAATGACCCTTCTATGACCATCAAACCTGCTCGAATGCTGTGCTTTTGGTGGTAAGATTGCTCCCCTGAACTTGCTTTATTGTCCCCCTATGTATCCTTCCCTTGTAGAACAGCCTCACTTTTGGTGCTGAGGATGTAGTGGACCCCAACCTTGTGCAGGTCCTTCCCCTTGTAGTGTCCCTCAGAATCCAAACCCTGCAGGATCCCATAATACCCTGTATGGCTATAGGGACCATTCCCTGACTCCTTCAACAGGGATAAGGGCATGTATGTGGGTTTGCAGACAGTGAGATGTGTTTGTGGAAGGGTCTCATGGAAAACCCTCCAGAAAGCCTAGAGATTCAGCCCCAGAAACTGAGGTTCTCCTGATGCCAGGAAGAGGGGATGATGCTTCCCTCATGTAGAACAGGACTCTCTTCCCCTCCCATCCTTGAAAGCTGCTTAAAATGCCATGGAAGTCTCTGTACTGCATGAGATGGAGCTGCAGCCTGAAAAGCTCTGCTTTAGAAAGTGTTTTTCTGTGGGAAAGATAAATAAAGGAGGAGTGATCTTCCTTCCCTGCTACCCATCACTTGTGGGGCTGAAAGAGGAAGGGCTCCAATGTTGGCTCCCCAGGGCCAGGTCTGAGCAGTCTGCAGTGGAGAGGAAAGCTTGGGATGAACAGAATCAGTTATAAACAACTGCAATGGCCTGGGTTTTAATTAATTCCACTTGATGGGAGAGAGGGAGAGGTCAGTTCTCTGTAGCTTTAATTAGTGCTGCCTCTTGCATTGCACACAGGGAGATGGGGCAAGTCCCCCTCTGCTTGCACCCACCAGCTCTAAGGAAGCAGCTCAGCTTCATCTGAGCTATCCGTGTGCTCTGCAGTGTGATAGGGAGGAGGAGGAGGGTGTTCTGGCTCCTCTGCTTCTCCAAGCAGATTGGGGTGGTGCTGGAATGAGGCTGGATGGAGGCTTTGCAGTGCTAGCAGAGGGTGAAATGTTTATTAACAGATCTTTAGGAGCTGGAGAGGAATGCCTTTGACTCCTGGCTTTGAAGTTTTCTTGCATTTACAAATGGCTGCAAACTGACCCATTTTATGCCTCCAGTTTTGTTCTTTAGGATTTTCCATTAGAAATGTCAAGTGTTACCGAATCTTTAGCACTTACCAGACATCAGGCGCCTATAAAGAGGAGCACATGTGGGTACCCGTTCTGTATGCTGTCGATTGCTCTTTGATGTTTTCCTTTATGACCCAATAAAGGCTTTCCATTTAAATTAAAAAATGCCAACAACCCTGATCATCTGTCATGGAAAATTGCAGTTGGAGGAGGGGACATATGTCACTGCAGCTGCCTTTCCATCCAGAGGTTCTGCTACAGCCAAGGCCAGGCCAGTGTTGGCTGTGTGGTGCTGTATGCAGCATTAACACCACAGCCAGGTGGAATTCTGGGGGGAGAAAAGGGCAAGCCAGGCAATTGCAAGCTATTAGAGGGTAGAAAAAGCCAATCAGATTCAAATGGGCTGTTTTCCTCCCAGGTTCTCCATTGAGAAGGTTGCATGGGGTGATGTACAGTGAGAATCTCAGCTCTGCACACTTGAAGGTGCTGCCCTAGATCTTTTGGAGCTGTGTGAAGAGCAGTGTCACGCTACACCTTTCTGAAGCAAGGGAAGAACACAGCCTTTGTTCCCAGCCCTGTCCCACCTCACCTTGGAGTAGGTGGCTCCATTGATGACTTCTCCTTTCCGCATCCAGATGATGGAGGCTGCTGGCTTGGCATTGTCTGCATGGCAGGTCAGGTTGAGGGGGTCTCCTGCTCTCAGGCTGATGATGGGACCCCCCATAATGACAGGATCATCTGGAGGAACTGCAAGGAAATAGGACAGAGGAGACAGCGTCATTTGGTAGCATTAAACCAACCTTCCTGGGGTTACCTGTGGGGTCTGGGCTGCTGGAATTGGACTGTGACCTCTCAGCCTCTGCAGCTGGCTTTGATGTGGCTGTGGCAGCTTCCAACCCATCTCACCATGTTATATCTGGCCTTTTGCTGCTCATATGAAAGCTCTGCCGCAGATCTGAACTAAAGCCTCAAACTGGCTGAAGTTTTACAGGGGGCATGTCATGGGTGGCTGCCTGAGCTTTGCAGTAATATGAAGGGTCAAGCTTATGGTAGAGAAACACAAGAGCTATAAAATACTCAAAAATGCAGGATGTCCCTGAGCTGCAAACTGTTCTTCTATTCCTCCCCAGGTAACTATAACTGGCTGCTGCTGGACATGAGGGGCTTTGCTCTGACCCCTGTTCCTCTGACTGCAACCTGGGAGGTAGGTAAGGGTGATATGGGAGGTGCAGGGAGCTGGGTTTGGACTGTTCCCTGTTGAACTCAGGGGGAACAGCTTCTATGGGCATCAGGAGCATTGTCTCCGGCTGCCTTTGAATAGGGCTCTGCTGGCAGCACTCTGTTGTGGTGGGAAGGAGGAACCCCTGAGCACTCCCTTGCTCTGCTTTGATTTCCCTGTTGCTTTCCCTCATTGTCTGTGCTGTCTCACTGCACAAAAGGTTGTGAAACTCCTCTCATTCAGCCAGACTCCCTCTTGCCATGATGAGTCTTTTAAGCATGTTTCCCCTGTGAAAGCTGGTTTTGCCAGGAGTATCAAGGAGATGTTTAAGATCTCATCGTTCCTTTCAAACCACCTCAGCCTGACAGTCTGTGTGAGGCTGCATCCTCATTACAGGACATGGCTTTGCTGGTATTGCACAGCCTCTGGGACATGTTTCCAGAGACAAGGAGGGATGGAAGCAGGGATGAGTGGTACGTAAGCATGGTCTCCTGTGACTAGTTTGTGAAGCCTGGCATCTCCAAACAGCCCATGTGTGATAAAAGATGGGAAATTCAGCTGGTGAGAGGGGAAAGAGCCCTTCTCCATTAACCCAGTTGGGTCTGCTGTAGCCAAGACCCGCTCTGAAGAGAGATGATAGATCTGTACATTTCAGTCTAGTTTCTTAGAACCAGATCCTTTGGGAAACCAAATGCTGTCATTGCTACAGATGTGTTGCCCACCTACCTCATGGCCTGTTTAGGAGCTCTTGGGGTACATGTGGCACTTGGAAGCCAACCAAAATGTAGAGGGGACAGTGGGAAGGCATCCCTGTTGCAACCCCTCTTTCCTAAGCAGAAGAGCTCATGTTAGCGAAGGATGTAGGAAGAAACTGCTGCTTCACACCCAGCTCGCACACCGCCTACCCTTCAGCATCCCCACCAAGGGGACGCACTGGGGCAAAGCAGAGCTGCTTTGGTCACAAATCAGCACATCTTACCCCTCCCTCACCATGCAAAGTGTGTCAAAACTAGCCAATGACCCCTCTGAACCCCCCAGTACATATCTGCTTCAGCTCTTGAGCTGCCCCTGTGTTTTAGCTGGTTGAGAACCATTTACAGACCCCTCTCTGACTCTTCCAGATGAACTGGGGAGCTGGGAAGGGATTATGTTGTGTGACAACTGGAGGTGGCTGCCTGCATCAGCCCGGGATTTGTAGGCAAGGCAGATGTGCTGGTTGCACACAACGCCGGTCACACACGCGTCTGCCAAACGCTGTGAGTAATGGGATTTCTCAGCTCAATGGGTGGAACCCAGGGACTGGAGGCAGAAAAGCTTTTCTACATGGATCCAAAATGTACTTTTTCAGGCTACAAGGTTGGAAAAAAAGAGTGAAAATCTGCTTGGGGTTGGCTGAAATGTGTCAGGCCTGAAATATGAAAATGTGAAGAAACCTGCTTCATTCTGCTGCTATTTAACTATTATTTTCACTTTAAGAATTCAATGGATGAGTTTAAACTGTTTAAGAAAACCCCCAAACTGATATTTTTTCAATATTTGTTCACCTCGCTGAAGCTATTAATTGAATTTGACCTCAGCTTGTAAAATATTGGAAATTCATCTTGTGGAGCAGGGGAAAAAAACAGCCCGTGAGCTGTTCTCTCTGAAGAGCAGCCTGAAATTAAATGAAGGGAAACTTACAGTAGGAAGTTTAATATTCCTGACTGATGCCCTGCAAGCGGCTAGTCATTGGGTGACATCTGAAGGCCCTCAAAGCAGTCCTGCTTGTCCCTTAGTTGCCTATGAAACCTAGGGGGCATCATGGGACAACCTAATGCAGATGGACATCATGCTGTTTGCCTTGTGCCAGAAAACCTTGTTTTCTAAGCTACTGTTTCATTCCTGTTTCCTCTTATTGGGTTAGCAGCAAGACTTGGGGAGCTGCTTGAGGAGGACAGAGAATGAGCCCTGATTACATCTTCCCAAGTAAGTGGTTATTATCCCCTAGTTATTCATGTAGCCATGAATTATGGATGGTCTCCAGACTCACTAACCAGGGGACCTGGCTGGGAAGGAGAGGGGCTGATGAATAGGAAGCAGCAATGTCTCTCAACAGCTCTAACTCCTGCAAAATGAAGGGGGGATGTATTCCTTCAGCATCCCCCCACCCCCCAACTCCAGCCTGGAAAGGAGGAGGAGGAGGAAGGGAAGAATGGAAGATAAAAAGGGGAGATGAAGAAAGAAGGGAAAGTGAGAAGCTGGTAGCATGGAGCCATGATCCATTATTCATCCACTGTGCTCGCAGGATTGGTTATTATTATAAGACATCACTACAGAACCTGGTCTCCTAATTTTTAATCACATAGATGTAGAAGCACCAGCTTTTCTGATTAATACAGGGATATAAATAGGAAGAGCTGTTTGAGGTTGTGTGTCGTTATTCCTGACAGCAGAGAAAACAGAGTTAACCTTTACATGCCTGAAAAGCTCAAAAAGAGAGTGAAAGAAGTGATTCATGATGGCTCAAGCCTGCAAGAGTAGGAATAAGCCAGAGAGATGGATGACATGCAGTTGCTTATGGGGTGGAAGCCCAGAAAGATTATCCCTTAACGGACCTTATCACAGAATCATCATAGAATGGTTTTCCACTAGACCAGGTTGCTCCAAGCCTTCTCCAACCTGGCCTTGAATGCTGCCAGGGATGGGGCACACCTGTGTCAGTGTCCCACCACCCTCAATAGGGAAGAATTAGGGTGAGAGCCCCCAGCAGGTCTCCTGCTCCTCTCAGTGCACTCAGGACCTCAACTGGAGAACTGATCACTGCAGGCAGAACTCTAAAGAAATAATGACAAGCTGCTCTCCATCACCCTCCCGTTTCCTGTCCAAACACAGGCTTGCTGACCATTCTAAACCAGCCTTGGCCAGGCATTAATCTGCTCTCTGTAGCTGGGGGCTGTGTGGATGAGGAAGGACAGCCTGGGGTCTCTGCTCCTTGCTCTCCACGGTGCTCTGGGAGAAGCATGCTTTCTATCAGCATTAGGAAATACAAATAAATGAGTGGTGCTCTTGGGCTGTGCATTCAGCAACTCCCTAAATTAGTTGGCTAGTTAGAGGCCTTCTTACACACAGACCCACCCTGCAATGCTTAACTGCATGATTCATCAATGAGACCATGCAGAATTAGTCAGGGCTGGACTAATACCCCAGGCTAACACTGCACTGAGAAAGAACACAGGTGGCTCTAAATGCTCCTGGCATCCAGGCTGCTTGAGACAACAGGATCCTCCAGCAGTCAGTTCCTGGAAGTGGAGGAAAAAAGCCCTCCAGCCACCAGTACTTCTTCCCTAATTAAAGCTAATGGCTTGTTGTTGTTGTGGCTGGTGCCTTCTTGCTGCTGGGTTTGTGTAACCAGCCTCTTCTTGGGACAGTGTTAGGAGATTCAATGCCATGTGCTCGCTGCTGGGCTGGAGAGGCAGATAGTGAGTAGCCCTAAGGATTGCTGTGAGCCATGTATCTGCAGGTAACATTCAGCTGACATTAGGCTCAGCCCAAGTGAGGAATGAGATCCCCTGGGTAAGGCATTGCTCATCTTCCCTACAGGGTCATAGAATCACAGAATAGTTAGGGTTGGAAAGGACCTTAAGATCATCTAGTTCCAACCCCCCTGCCACGGGCAGGGACACCTCGCACTAAACCATGTCACCCAAGACTCCATCCAGCCTGGCCTTGAACACTGTCAGGGATGGAGCATTTACACCTTTTTTGGGCAGCCTGTTCCAGTGCCTCACTGCCCTCACAGTAAAGAACTTCCTTAGATCTAACCTGAACTTTCCCTGTTTAAGTTGGAACCATCACCCCTTGTCCTATCACTGCAGTCCCTAATGAAGAGTCCCTCCCCAGCATCCTTGTAGGCTGAGGCACTCGAGGGCCTGGGTCCATTCTATATGTATGTTAAGAGAAAAGTGACCAGAAGATGCTCTTGGTGATCACATAGTGCTACAAACAATTGGAATGTGCTTCCTAGCCCCAAATCTGACAGTCTAAGTGCAGACCAAAAGCATCCCCAGCACTCCACAGCGGTTTGCTAACAGTACTTGGGCTGGCTGTCTTCCAGCAAGCTGGCACTCAGAACACAAAGCCCCATGGAGATGATGATGATGAAGACATGAACAAGGGTATGTTTGCTCCTGTGTTTTGACTGTGCAGTAAGGAAGCACTGGGGACCCCAGGGAGGCAGCCTGAAGGGATTCAGTTGACCCTCTCATGCAGAAAGGGTGGATCTGGAAGCTTTGCTCTGGTGCAGTGAGGTGTTTGTGTATTCAGACATCGCATCCTGGGCTTGTCAGAGAGGCATGTTTGCCTCTTGTAGACAAGTCAAGCTTATGAGGGCATCACAGTACATGTGCTCTGGCTGACTGTACCCAGGCACTGCCCTCATCTGCAGGCAGCTGCTTGCTGCTGGGAGTATCTGCAATACAAAGAATGCTTTCCTTTCCAAATCCAATCTGTGCTCCACGCTGGGGCATCCCAAGTCTGGGTTTGATGGCTG